ACCAATTATAAATTGTCCGAAGACTTGGTACTTCATCGCCAAAGGCCAAATGAAGTTGATCAAAACACTGTTGTTGTGATACACCCAATCGAAAGTGGAAAAAAATAATCGCTCGAAAATTTTCACGAGTAAAATTTATTTTTTGGCTGAGACGCAATTTACATGTTACGGTAAACAATACAAATAACGATCGAATGACAAAACGTTCTGAGAACGTTTATGCTACAAAATGTTAAACTTAACGAATATGACAATGGTTTGCATCGGGCAATACTAAAACATACATATTGAAGAAACTTAAATAGTCGCCTACGTATATAAGATTTAACGAAGTCGGTACAACAAATCTTCCCCTAATTCCAGTACCATTTGTATCATTATATCGAACGGCAGTGAAAGGCATCATTTTTAAAAGTAATTTTATGTTGTGTACGTCGGCAAGACACGAATTAAAAATTCAGATTTACTAGAAAATACTAGAAGATATTAGAACTTATTATTTCAACGAAAAAAATAATATGAATTACTATAAATTCGAAGCGAAAAGTAAACAAAATGACACAAATGATAACAGAACAGAAATTCATTAGCAAAACGTCATTGTATTTGTACGCTTATTAGAAAAATCTAGAGAAATACGTAATTTTAGTAAATTTAACCGTGTCTTCCCCTAGGCTGTGTATTTTACATCCAGTGTTTGGTTAAGATATCCGAAGTGATCTAGATACTTTTGGAATAGTATCTCAATTTTCCGAAATTCATCTAGATATTTTTAAGATTTTTATCTTATATTTTTGAGAAAAGATAAGATATCTTTCGAAAAGATAAGATAAAAAATCGTCGAAGTTATCGGGTCCATGAATCGTGCGTTGAAGTTGTCAGGTGTGTTTTACGCAAGGGGGTAGACATGATTCAAATGAGTCGTTGTAATTCATTTGTGATTTGAATCTATTTGACAAGTGAATTTACAATAATAAAACAAAGCATAAAATTCTATATCAATATTTGTTTTTTTTTAAGCAAGCAAAAATTTTTTTTTTATTAAAAAAAATCAAGTATTGGGTGTAGGCATTAATTCCTGCGGTCGACATTTAGATGTCGCTACTTAAAATTGTGTGTAGCTTGACAGGTGAATCCAATTGCATTTTGTACATGTGACATTTGCCAATCTAATTCAGAGCAGAAAGATTTATTTTTGACACAGTGTCATTATTTTCTGATCGATTCAAAATGAGTATTGAAAAAGTGTTTTTCTGTCTGGTCCTCCTTTGGTTCAATTTTTTCACTTTAAATAAAGTGAAAATACATCTAAAGGTTATAAAATGTTGCAGGAGATGAGACCTCTCAATCGCCAGAGAGAATGTTGAATTTGGTGAAAAAGAAGTGGTGAATTTGTTGAAAAACTGTGAACTCACCAAAAAAAATTGAATGATGGGCTATTGGTGTTTTTTATTCGATAAAGATGCATGAAAATGCATCAGAAAACATCATAAGCATTAAATATATGCGGATCAATCGTTTTAAGACATTTGTAATGAGGTAAGACCAAAGAAATTGTGTGCCACACCAGCTGAATCCAAAACTAGTTGTAAGACGTTTTTTCACATTTTGGCACAATGTTCCAAAAATAAGAAAAAAAGAAATTTTTGTATCGTTTTGTAACTGGAAGTGAAGAAGGCATTAACTGTGAACTGTTTATTCTTTAACTTGATATTTTTTTGATATAACATGCATGCAAACATCGATAGTCAACTTCACTGTAAAGTGTCACACGAACTGTCAAGCGGTGGTTTGAAATGATTCGAAAAACTTCAAAATGATTTGAAATATTTATAATTTACTCGCAATAATTTAAAAATTTCGTATAGATTTGTTCTTTTGGATTGCGTGTCCACCCCCTAGGTTTTGCGAATCGGACTTTTAATACAAAACCTATCATTTTGACGAATCTTTTTTGAGCTATAATTTTTTTTTTGTCATGAAATTGATCATTTTCGCTTCGATGAACAAATTAATCATACCGTCAATTGATGATTTTTTTTTAAATAAATGACCAAAATATCTTATTATTTATCTTAAAAAATAAAGATTAGGTACCAAATAAAACCAAAAGAAAAGATAAAGATAACATGAATATTTTTGTTTCAAAAATCATCTGGATAAGATAAAAGATAGTATCTATCTTATCTTATCTTAATATCTCAAACGAGATAAGATATCTTAACCAAACACTGTTACTGTAACGTTACAACGTATAGGATACGTTGCAAATTGATAGCTGTATTTAATGCGATAATAGCTTCAAAACTTGAATGAATTAATTCCTTCGAAATGAATAACAACCACAATGAAAATCGAAAAAAGAATGGCAAATAAACCAATTTCGATAAAAATGATTTTCTCCAAAAATTACAGGCGGTTAAACCACTGACTGAGCATCAATTTATCTGGTTTCTGGTAGTAGTAGCATTTGATGAAATAAGCAATATATTTATTGCAAAGTAAGCACTACTCAATTCAATATGGTAATCGTGTCGCATCAAGACAGCATTATTATTTGCCACAAAGATAAATTGCTTGAAAATGTAATCATTATCATTCGTTGGCAAATTGACTAAAATCGATAAAAATGATAAAATTGCTTTTATATGGATACAATTTTGTGTCCTCCTGCATAAAAAATAATCGTTTGCTCCTTTTTGCCTAATCGACTTGATAAGGATATGAAGTGTTATTTGCCTTCTTTTCTTTCAGCTTCATCCAAAACAGATAGTACTACATTCCATAAGAGATAATGAATTGCATGAACGGCTGACATCCATTTTGCATTGCCTTAATTTTCAAAGCGTCAATTTATAAGCACTAGTAGTGGGCGATACTAAGAAAGTAAGAGAAAAAAAGCCACTCTGTTTTGTGTCAAATTTCTTAATAAGAACTTTTGTTCGTTATTGTATTTTGTGTTTTAGATTCGATTTTATCTCGTAAATGAAACTTGTATTCAAACCATTTCAAACCATATGTAATTAATACAAAAGATATAAACTTTTCTCAATGAGATTGATCGATATGGGTCAATGAAGGAAAATTAGTTGGCAATTGATAAATTGCGATCGAATCGCATTTGAAGAATGAGCACGCACACTCGCATATTGGTATCTCAGCGCGACGGCAGGATTTATTATGTATTAGTATCACTTGGAATATGTTTAGCATTCTTTCGAACGACTGTCTTGAATCCTAATTTTGAAAGCACACAATATATGTATATATATGGCTGCGGCGGCCAATGAAGCAATTTGTCGTCGAGATCTACCATTAAAAGTATTTAACAGAAACTTATATAATCGAAAACTTTTCGCAGCAATAAAAAATCACCCACATGCCGCACTAAGCATATCAAATTAAAACGAGCAAACCAGTTTTATTTTTTTCTTTAGTTGGAATTTCGTTTGTGAAATAATTTATGTAATGCATACATAAACACTAGCTTACTATTTATACACACATTCAATCTATGTGACACTCTAATCGATCCGGCTAGATCAAGTTTTTCACAAAAATATATTTTTCCTCATATCGCGTGAATTATAGAGCAAAAGGATGAGTGAGGGTGAGCATTATAGGATGAGAGAAAACGTGTCTCATTCAGAAGTAATCAGAAGCGAAATTTTTTCCGCAAAATAATATTTCACCATAAGATTTGATCTAAAGTTGACACACAATTATCATTCACTGATCTATGGAATCTTCTCTCGCTCCATCAGATGAAAGTTTTGCTCGCCTCCGGCAAACTTAGATTCTTTTTTCTCATTCACTTTTGATCTTCATTAAGTCTTCAAAGTCATTTGCATCTTTAACTTTTCTTTCTCAACACAACTTGAAAATTTCCTCCATAAAACGATTCATATGAATGTTCTTTTGTGATTACTTCTTTTGTATTCACCACGTATTATTTTTTTCCATCAGTTACCCGAAATAACGCATTCACACTTTGATTGAAAATCCGAAAAACCAACGTATCGATATATACACGCGCGCACAAGACGGTAACAAACAAACGGTTACTCTCGTTAAGAACTCACAAACAACTGACTTGGATGCTTTCATCAGTAGACAGACTAAGTCTTAGGCTCCAGATAATACATATAGTTACAGCTGTTATCGGCGATGAAATGATGAAATGGCGAATCAAACACTGGGGTTGAGTGAAAACAATGATTATAAATGAACTCCGTGCATCGCTTGAGTCAAATTTACAGCGAATCGCTTCGATGAGAGTTAACATACGAAATGGAACCTATTGCTAAATGAATTCACTCCAAATTCATCTAGTGGCCAAAAGTTGGAAAAAATACACTCAATAAAATTTGCTATTTTTCACTTGCGCACGCCCCGAGTGTGGTTCGTTTTGCCATACAAGCTTTTCCATGTTGACCCGTGTTCTGTGGCAATCAATTGACAGTTGAACAGGTTCACACATCGTCGAACAAACGATAGCCACATTTTTACCTATTGATGTACAGATAAAATATATAGGCCCAAACACAGACTAAAATTCAGGAGCGAAAAGCACTTCAAATGCGTAACATGAATGAATGTATTTCAATGATATTGTGAGAGTCACTTGATATATAGAGCAAAATCAATGGGTGTTAAGGATAAATAATGAGTCGAGATTCACAATGAGAAATCACGTTTTTTCTTCACACGACCAAATCAAATGACATACTACTGTGATCAAAAAGTAAGGTGAATTTGTTATTCAATCTTCGCGGGGAAATGCAATCGTCGAAATTCTTTTTTTATTAGGTTGGCAGCACTGTTTTTGATAACTGTGTAACATTTCATTACAGTATTTCGATTAGGTTATGAGCTACGCTACTTTGTTTACATCAAGAAATTTTCATTTGGCGATTTTCATAATGACTGATTTTGTTGAGCAAAGATATTGTATTAAATTTTGTTTGCGGAATGAAATTTCTGGTGCGGAAACGTTCAGAATGTTGCAGAAGGCCTTCGGTAAACAGGCCTCGTCGCAAAAAAATACTTTCAAATGGCATAAATTGTTCAAAGAAGGCAGAGAACGCGTTGAAGACGAAGATCGCTCGGGACGACCATCAACATCAACTGATGAGGAACACGTCAAGGAAATCAAAGATCTTGTGCTGAAAAATCGTCGATTGACAATCAGAGACCTTGTAGATATTACTGGCATTTCATTTGGATCAATTCAAACAATTTTGAAAGATCATTTAGGTCTCCGTCGTTGTGCAGCTCGATTGGTACCAAAAACATTGAATTTATTCGAAAAAGAGCGTCGTGTTAATGTGTGTCAAGAAATGATTTCGGACTCATATCGTTCCGCAACCTGCATATTCGCCCGATTTGGCACCGTGTGACTTCTGGCTGTTCTCTACACTCAAAAGACCGCTTCGTGGACATCGTTTCGAGTCGATTGAAGAGATTCAACGTAAATCGCTACATGAATTGAAGGCCATACCAGAAAGTAGCTTTTCACATTGTTTCGAAGACTGGGAAAAACGTTGGCGTATGTGTATTGCAGCCGGGGGGGATTACTTTGAAGGCGATGAAATCGATTTGGAAGAATAAATAAAGATTTTCTAAAATATTCACAAATTCACCTTACTTTTTGATCACAGTAGTACACAGAGAAAAATAAATCGGTAAATATTTACTGACTGCGTTAAATTCCATAGGCGAATATTGTGTTGATTTCAGTGATGGTTTTTTCCTATCTGAATAGCGCTAGCTATTCGCAGCGTCTGAACAGCATTGCTGCCCAGATGCTGAATCGAAGCGGTTGCCGCACGCGTTTTGTACCACACAACATATTGTCATATAGTCTAAGTAACCAGTGAGCTCACAGAGTATGATACACTAATACCATAGTCAGTATACAAACGCATGTCGAACAGAGAACGAACGCGAACGTATATGCTCTGTGTGGTACAAACGAAGTGTGTTGCGCGTGCGGCAACCGCTACGATTCAGCATCTGGGCAGCAATGCTGTACAGGCGCTGCGAATAGCTAGCGCTATTCAGATAGGAAAAAACCATCACTGGTTGATTTTCAGTACAAAATGCCACAAACATTTCTCTTGTATTTTACCACAATTAACGAAAATTTTACCACACGCGCTATAAACGTCAGATCGCTATGCTCTAACCGAGTTATGCGCTATATGTTTTATATGAAAACGTCACACGAATCTCCCCCGAAAACGACATCTTTGGTCTTGCAGCAGAAGCTGTTTCTATGCTGAAAATTTCCTTTCAGTTTAAAAAATTTAAAATATTATTTATGTAGAATTGTACAAATATTTTAAAACTTTGAAATGAGATTTACAGAAATATGCATTTGAAAATTGTTTTAAAAAATAAACACGGCACAGTCAATTTCAAAAATTTCAATGAATAATATTGTTGACATATTTTCACGATGACAGCTATTTTTGCGGTACAAAATTGACCCGTTTGAATGATTTGTCAATATTGAACAATTGAACATACTCTACACACATGGGGAAACAGAGATGGCGTTGTCGTAGCATGTAGAAAAATATATGTTTAACGCAATATTCGGCTTCTATGCTCATTAATTGCTTGTTACTTGTTCATTTTCACTGCGTCTTGTATCTTGTACTGTATTAATAGTTAAAATGTCACATAAAATATTATTCAATTTTCCTATTTTTATTTTTATTTGACGTTTCATTATTTCTAAAATAAAAAATATATTTTTTTTATTTAAAAGAAATAAAAACCCTAAAAATATGGGATAAATAAAAATAAAGCAAAATGAATTGTGGTTGGTTTGTGATTTGAAGTTTATAGCGTGTGGTGAAATTTTCGTTAGCTGTGGTAAAATACAAGAGAAATGTTTGTGGCATTTTGTACTGAAAATCAACACAATATTCGCCTATGGAATTTAACGCAGTCAGTAAATATTTACCGATTTATTTTTTTCTGTGTAACGCGAGTAGATATGCAGTATGCAGCCCTTATGTAATATACAACAAATTTTGTGTTGCTATTCAAGGTGCGTCGTTTATTTATGCTTTCGGAGTTCAATTATACTTGGTTACATTCAACTATAGTCACAAGTTTATAACTTTTACGAAGTGCACTATTGATGGAAGAATCACTTTAAGAAGTCGATGCACTTCAATTAGTGGCAAATTAGTAAATGGAAAGGGAAATGTTGAACAATATCAATTAAATACCACTCTTACCACTCTATATTTACGTAAGCAAAAATTATAAACATTGAGTCAAAAGAAAACAACCACCAAACTGAATTTATTTTTAAACTTAAACCAACAAAGGGTTGCTTACTTAGTAGTCTACGTTAGTACTTTTCGATTGGATTCAAACATCCATGCTAGGGGCTTAATTCAAAATTTTCGACGACTGAATTCTATAATAATATCCAAATTAACTGAATTTTTCAGCAAACGAATGAATTCCGGTGAATTCTACGGCGATTTCATTCAAATATGTGAGATATTGGTGAATAGTTTCTGCTGGCAATTACTGCAATATTTATATTTTGTGTAACAAAATTGCAAATGTTTTTTATATTTTTTTAATAAAAATTAATTGTATTTTTAATTTTGAGCGATTTTCTATCGAAAACAATCGGAAATATTGAAAAATTAATAAAATAAAAAATATTACGGTTATCATAACCTGACGGCCTTAGAAGAAAACAATAACATACAGAACATGCTGCAAATAATACTAATACAAATTTTATGAGAGCAAAAACCAAATATATAAAGAGACAGCGCAAAAGGCAAATGCAAAGCCAGCCTACTTACATAAGAAACACATGTAATTCTGTAGTTGAAATTCTGTAGTTTGTTGTACTAGAGCCACTTGAAACAAGGTCGATTGAGTATTCTGGATAGGTTTTTTTCGAAAGGGCATCTGAAGAGCTATAAACTGAGCAATTTTAAACAAAATCGTAGAATTTGAACTCGATTTATAGCGACGTTTGTTTGAAAATACACAGAAATGTGATAGTTCGCTGTACTAGAGCTACTATTCACAAGGTCGATCTAGTATTCTGTCTGTGTTTTTTCGAAAGGACATCTGAAGACCTACAAACTGAGCGATTTTGATCAAAATCGTAGGATTTGAACTCGAGTTACAACGTACAAATCAAGTTGTCTTGAAGTTCCCATACAAATTCTTAGGAAAAACCTCATTTACAAGAAAAATAATTTCCCTGGACGAATTTTCCAAAAAGAAAAATATGGTTTTCGTGGATTGGGCTCAGGAATCTGAAAAAATAGGTTTCAAGTTGATAGCTGATACCTTACTTGAGTTATACGTGGCACAAACAAACTGAAAACGATTCTAAAGCTTGATTATACATCAAGCAATATCAATGTATGAGAATCGAACAAAGTGCCCATTCCTCTACTAACTAGTTTCCCGGAATTGACATTTTACCATTTGATGAAATTATTTAATTTTTTTCTTCTTCGTTTTCGTTCGATTTTCTTTTGAAATCTGAATCAGATAACGTTTCAATTCACTGAAATTGAATCGAAAGCAATCAAGGAATTAGAAAGTAAACGCGCTCAAAGACGGTTTTGAGAGCGTGTAATATAAGAACATTAAGGGAATTCAAAATTAAATCATCAGTTTTTTTTCACTCGATGCGAATTTTGTTGGGATTTTTAAAATCCATTGCATTCAATTTGTTTGATTTAATTTAATCACATCAAGTGCATGCTCTCAAATATCAATATTAAAAATAAGCGACAGAGACGCATGAAATTACCTGAAAAACAATGAATGCTTGAAAAAAATGAATTTATTTTTTTCGTTGGGGCAATTCAAACCCGATTCAATTCGAAGCATCATATCTTCATCGCGTTTCGGCCTTTATATTGTGTCATTGAAAATTAATGGCATCGTTAATGTCGCTTCATTAACAAAAAAAAAATAACGCGTTCCGCTTAAATTTCATTCTTTTTTTTTCAATTCTCATTGAGAGTTCTAGGTTTTCGATGGAATTGGACACTTTGGAGCTCATTTTTTTTTATCAGTAAACAAAAGCAAAAAAATCCTATTTATCTTATAATTGCTATTAAATTATATTGTCGTATATTTGAGTCACATCACGCATACATTTCACAACGACAAAATCCATTTGGATTTCGATCAAGATAAACTCACCAATTTTATTCTATGACCAAATGATGTAGCGAATTTATACAGTGGACACTTTGTTGCACTAAAGAGCGCACTTTTTTTTATTAATGTATAAAATGACTTCAGTTTAAATTTTGGGCGGATATTGAACATAATATCAGCTAACCGGGGATTTCGTTGACATATTTATATGTAAACGTCAGTGGCATCTAAACCGAAAACGCCATCTTTGGTTCCACATCAGTAGCTATTTCTGTGACAAAATTTTCGCTTTAATTTAAAATAAAATAAAAGCATTTAATTTTAATCCCAAATTTTTTGAAAAAAAAATCCCCATTTAAAATTCATTTTATTATTAATTTAAAGCGTACGTGTGTATATATTGTTTCTCGCATTCAACAACTACAATGAATATCTTTGTTTTGAACTATATGTTTTACTCTATGCAAACCATGGCCTGGAAATGCCTATGTAATTTACATATAAACGAGTGAGACTCAAACATGTTCTTCTTTTTCCATCAAATATACCAGTGGCGCCACCAATTTTACATATAAGCGCATACAAAATTTTCAATATGGCTGCGCCCATGAGAGAGAAAATTTCGTCTCATTCATTTCCGCCCCATGATGCAAACGAAGACAATTAAAAAAATGAATTCAAAAAAATTGTTTCATGTTTGGTTTTAATATTTTACCTGAGGATTTTTCAAATAGTCGGGATTAGACTTGAACCCTTTTTGAATTTATATTAAACTATTTAATTTGAACCAATCAATATTGGTTGGTAAAAAAACTCGCAACGGATGGGGAACAAGAGATGGCGTTGTCGTAGATTTAGGAATGGAAAATAGTCATCATATTACCGGGTTTATATCAGCCAATAATAATAGTGACTACAATGCGATCATCATCAATGATATTGTATTTCGTAGTCAGAACAAATTAACGTTTGGATAAATATAGAGTAATGTGTTTTTGCCAGAAATCTGTGAGTTTTTATTCCATTTCTGCCTCATTAATCATTATCTTTAAACATTTCTGGGACTATTCATTATGCCAATATTTAAATTGGAAAAGTCAAAGGCACAAGTATTCAATCAAATAGAGCTATTTAATTTCATTTAAAAACAAGCATTATCTTGTTATCGTTTAATTTAATCGATTAATGCGGCGCGTATATTTAATAAATATTCAGACATTATTCTAAGTAC